GGACGCTTAATCGAATTCGGGTTTATAGATGGTGGTGTGTTCTTCCATCTGGAAGTATACAGTGTCTAGTTGACTTTTTTAATGAGATTAGCCACTGATACATTCAAAGCATCAGTCCATTAAATCATTAAGGATTGCAAGATTGTGATATTCTAATTCATCTTTCTGTTTTTACTTATAAGTTGATTATTTCTGTGAAGCTGGGTGATCTGTTGTTATCCGTTGGTATAGCTCATATAGCCAAGGAAAGAAAAGACTTGATTCTTTTTGTGTATTTAGTAAGTTTCAAAATAGTAAATTGGCTAACATCCTCCAGTGGTGATCAATCACTTCTAGTCATCAGAAGTTGTTATCTTTATCAACATTCAGATTTTTCCAATTTCGATTGGTGAGAACCCCTTAAGTGGACTCTTAAGTCTTTGAGTAGACTTTTAACTTCCTTTCTACTACTATACCTGATGTTTCAGGCTCATCTTGTAAATATTCTGTTCAGACCTGCAATCAGCCATTGGTCCTAGGAGCCCTAGTTCCTAACACCTTTATCCTTGGATCTAGCTAATCCATTGTCTTCTTAATAGACTTCATGCTAATCAAAAGAAATGCAAGATTTATTTAATTTTTTTAACTTTTTATTTTATGTTAGAGGATAGTTGATTAACAGTGTTGTAATAGTTTCAGATGTCCAGCTAAGTGACTCAGTTACACACATATACGTATCTGTTCTTTTTCAGTCTTCTCCCGTTTAGGTTGTCACACAGTGTTTGGCAGAGTTCCCCATGCTTCACAGGTTGTCACTTTAAACACAGTGGTATCGACTTACCAACCCCAGAGTCCCCAGCTGCCCCTCCCCTCCACCTACCCCAGCAACCAGAAGTGTGTTCTCTAAGTCTCTCGGTCTGTTTCTGCTTTGTAGATAAGTTCATTTTGTATCATCCCTTTTAGATTCTGCAGATAAGCTATATCACACAGTCTTTCTCTGTCTGACTGACTTTACTCAGTGCGATAGTCTCCAGGTCCATCGAGGTTGCTGCAGATGGCATTACTGCTTTCTTCTCAGCGGTTCAGTAATAGTCCATTGTATACATGTACCGCATCTTTATTTGTTCCTCTGTCAATAGGACGTTTAGGTTGCTTCCATTGTCTTGGCTGTTGTGAACGTTGCTGCAGTGATCGTTAGGGTGCATGTATCCTTTCAGACCATGTTTTTCTGTGGATATATGCCCAGGAGTGGGAGTGCTATGTTTTTAGATTTTTAAAGAACCTTCCTACTGTTTTCCGTAGTGACTGTACCAGTGTACGTTCCAGTCAACAAGGTAGGACGCTTCATGCACTGTGCCCGTCCTGTCCAGCGTTTACTGTTTGTGAATGTTTTTATGATGGCCATTTTGACTGGTATGAGATGCTATCTGGTAGTTTTGACATGCAAGAAATGTAAGATTTATAGTCAGTATATCTTGAATGCAGGTTGTAAGACCTCCAAACAAGAGATTGATTTTACTTTTGAAATGGTTAATAGTATCCCCTGGGAAAGAAGACACTCAATTGTACGCTTGGCAGTTGCCTCTACTGGGAAGTACAGTTTCCAATATAATCATTGGCTTTTCTGCAATCCAAGTAGCTTGACAGGTGTTAGGATTGGGTGATAAAATGTCTCTCGGTGAAGAAAAGGACCTCCGACTCCAAGCAGTGCAGACTGCCATTTGGGAAGCTTCGAAGTCTTGATGCTGCCTGACTAAGTAATGGGTAGGGGTTAAAGGGCTCTGTGAGGCGTCATTACTTCCCCTGCTACGCGGCTGTGCGCCTTCTGTTAGGTAAGGACCTGTATTCCCATATTTACAGAATTGAGACTATAGTTATGTAGTTCATTTGAAATGAAAATTATATACTAGCATATTTAACTGTAAATCAGATATCTCTCACATTTTTTTTTTCTGGGCACCAGTTATTGCAAAAGATACCAAGTCCCCAAACTAGCTCCTGTGTTTAATCTCTCTTTTCTTTTTTTTTGTGTTACTATTAGTGTTCAAAAAATGATGAATATAAAAATTAATTTTGTGGTAGTACAGTGAGGACAGTCTGTGAGGACAGGAACGTGAACACATTCACTTGTCCCAAAATGCTGGAGTAGTGCCCGACACGAAGCAAGTACAGTCATCATTACCAGTTTAATGGACGCCCTGTAATAGTTTGTTTCTATTTATAAACTGATAGTTTTAGTTTATTCCTCTCCCTTCAAAATCAGTGACCTTTAAATTGCATTTAGTTCAGCTGAGCTCACCTGACATCCCGTTTGAAAAGAAACACAACAGTTACGTGAGTCTGTGACACTGACTCGTTCATTGAGCAAGTTGTGGGGAAGTGGAAGATGCTGGGTACTGTGCGGTAACTGGAGACAGAGGTGACGCCCTGTCCTCCGGGAGCTGTGAGTCTCGTGGGCGGGACCCAGAGACAGACCACGCCGTGCACGTGAGCGCAGTGGTCCGCAGCACGGACTCTGGAGTCAAGCTGTTCGGTTTTGTGGCTCATTTCCCAGCATCACCTTGGGCAGGTCACTTACTTTCTTTTGGTCTTAATTTCCTCATCTGTATTATGTTGTAGAAGCTAATTCTTCTGGGGAAGTTTGGTGAAAGCTTTCTCCCAAAATGACATTTGAGCTGTTTTAAATTGTTGAAGAACCTAAATGCTTTTTCCTCTCCTTCCTCCTCCTCCAGATTACAGTTTAGGTGTAGCTTCCTTGCAGAAGTCTTCTCTGATTCACACTGGCTGCCTTGCTAACCGAAGTCTGCAGCTGTGCTCCTGAGTCACTCTGTGTTTCGTCTGTTTACTGGCGTGACCCGGGTGTGCTTACTTGTTTCTCTGTGCTAGTCTGTAAGCTGCAGGAGAGCTGAGATCGGTCCACTTGACCACGACTTTGCCAGTTCCCATATAGTTCCTGACACTTTTTAAATGAACGTGCACGTCAGACCAGAAATAAGGGAAGGCCATTCCAAGCCTCGGAATAGCATTTACAAATAAATACACAGTTGTGAAAGGGCTAGTCTAGAGCATAGAGAAAGCAATGGTGAGAGTTAACATAAATTCAAGATTCAGATTATAAACTGTCAGTAAAATTAGTGCTAAAAGTTGATCTTTAAAAAAATTCTCTGGTGATGCTTCTTTTGGTAAAAAACACAAAAAAAACATGGCTTGGGGCTGGATCGGATCAAAATTAGCTCTGAGAATTTATGCTTTAAAAAAGAAAAGTAGCTACTGCATTAGAGTCCATTTTAGTGAAAAACTTTGTCTAGTTTGGATAAATACATATGTGTGTGTGTATACATATGTATATACATATTAAAATAGATATATATACACATACACACAGAAATTGCTGCACTGAAGTCTTAAGGATTTTGTTCTGCTAGTAGGACTACCTGAGTTTTTAAACAAGTAATCGTGGTCAGGGTTTTTAGGAACATAGCTATGCAGCAGGGCGTCTGAACCTCAGCTCTATTGACATTTTGGGCCCTGAGAATTATTTGCAGTTGGGGGCTGTCCCACTCTAATTGTGACAACCCAAGTGTCTCTAGACGTTGTGAAACCACCCCTGGGGAGAAAAGGTGCCCCTGGGTTAGAACCACTGCTCTGCAGGTGTGTAACGTGTGGATTCAAGTGGAAGACACTTCAGGCAAAGAAACCAGATAATAGGAGGTTAGTGCTTGATCCAAGTGAGATGAGGTGGTCTGAATTAGTACAGACTGGATAGAGGGGCAGATTTAAGAGAGTCTGGCAAGTAAGAATAAACGAGACTTGGGAACCAACTAGGTCCTCAAGGGAGGGGTTCTGAGATGATTCTTAGGCGTCTTTTTCCTGGTGGTGGTGGTTTGGTTGCGAAGTCGGCGTCCTACTCTTGTGGCCCCATGGGCTGGAGCCCGCCAGGCTCCTCTGTCCCTGGAGTGGTTGCCATTTCCTCCTCCAAGGGATGTTGGTGACCCAGGGATCAAACCTGCATCTCCTGCATTGTGGGCAGGTTCTTCACCGCTGAGCTGCCAGGGAAGCCCTTTTTCTCAGTTGTCTGCATTTAAAGTGGCGCCATTAACCTAGAAGTAACCCAGAGAGGGAGTTCTCCGGGTGTGGCCCAAGGATTGCAGGGTCTGGAGGAAGCAGGAAATTCTGTACACAACTCGCTATAATAGATCCCTGGATCGATGGAACGTTGGAAATAGAAAGAACCTTCAAAGACATTTGCTCCATTTTTAAGAGATAAAATACATGCTGAATGTTTTATCATTTCGTCTGAAAGTTATGTTTATATTATACTGTTGTCTGTTAAGTGTGCAGTGGGGTTGTATCTTTCCAAGTGTACATACCTCAGTCAAAAAATGCTAACCACCATCTGAGCCCTCAACAAGTTAATGTTTTCACTGATGGAAATATTTTGAAATATTGTAAAAATTACCAAAATGTGACAGTGGCGCAAAGTGAGCGAATGCTGGTGGGAAGATGGCTCCTCTAGACTTGTCGAGGCAGGGTTGCCTCAGAGCTGCCCTTGTGGTCCTTTGTAAGCAGCGTGTCTGCAGGGTGCAGGGGGACCGCGTGTGCCTGTCCTGTCCTTCCCAGCCCGGCAGCGCAGAGCAGGACGGCAGCCAAGGCGCTGTGTGTTCCGGGACCAGTGTCGGCCTTCATCTGTAGCGTACTTACCTAGCCACTGTTGCTTCAGAGCACTTTAAGCTATCAAATGCTATTTTCAGAAGATGGTCTGATAGCACACCGGTCCACGTCATAATCTGTACCGGCCGCGGGGAGCTGAACTGCTGGCTCCCTGGTACCAGCGCGAGCGGTCGCCGTTGTGTGACTGACGGGCGTCTCCGTGGGAGGCTGCTGCCGCTGCTGGTTCCTCCCTGGACGCGAGGGGCTGGGGAGCCCCTTGTCGTTTCAGTCCTGCCGCCAGCTCCCTTTGACGCTGACTTCCCCCTCCTTGTTAGCAACAGGGCTTCATTTGCCTGTCTCTCGTCTTGAAGGTAAGGAGCAGCCCCCTCTGGAGATGAGTCTGCACGCCGCCGCGGCAGCCCCGCTGTCGGCGTTCAGCAAGGAGCCCGCGTCCTCCAAGCACAGCGACCACCACCACCACCACCACCACGAGCACAAGAAGAAGAAGAAGAAGCACAAGCACAAGCACAAGCACAAGCACAAGCGGGACGGCCGGGAGAAGGGGCGCGAGCCCCCCGCCTTCCCCAGCCCCGCCGGCGGCCGCTCCGCGCGCTCCCCCTCGCTCTCGGACTGAGCCGGTGGCCGCGCGGGCGGGCAGGCGCGCGCCCCCCGCCTGTCCCAGCCCCGCCGGCGGCCGCTCCGCGCGCTCCCCCTCGCCCTCGGACTGAGCGGGCGGGCAGGCGCGCGCCCCTCGCCTGTCCCAGCCCCGCCGGCGGCCGCTCCGCGCGCTCCCCCTCGCCCTCGGACTGAGCCGGTGGCCGCGCGGGCGGGCAGGCGCGCGCCCCTCGCCTTCCCAGCCCCGCCGGCGGCCGCTCCGCGCGCTCCCCCTCGCCCTCGGACTGAGCCGGTGGCCGCGCGGGCGGGCAGGCGCGCGCCCCTCGCCTTCCCAGCCCCGCCCGCGGGAGGTCCGTGCGCTCTGCTTCCGTCTCAGAGGGAGCCGGGGCCGGGGGGCCTTCCCTCCGTGTCCAGACAAGTACACAGACGGAGTCGGGCCGGGGGGACCCTCGCCTTCCCAGCCCCGCCGCCGGGAGGTCCGCGCGCGCTCTGCTTCCCTCAGACGGAGCGGGGCCGGGGACCTTCCCTCCGTGTCCAGAACAGTGTACAGACCCAGCACTTCATCAGCTGGGAAGATGATAGAAAGAAAAAGTCACCTCTTGTAAAGACTCAAGTTCTAAACATTTGATTTATGTTATTTATACAACTGAAACCTGATTAGGAAAATGTGTTTTATCGTCCTGAGTAAACCATCTCATCCGGTTTCTTCCTGGAAATGCACGCACAGAGCAGACCCTTCATCAGGCCCTCCTCTGCACGGGCAGTCACCGTTCGTATCCTGGTCCCCATGTGTACTGCCAAAGCCAATTATGCTTTAAAGCCTGCGATACTATGGTACAAAGTTACGTTTTAAACAGAAGCTACTGCCAAACCTGTGGTGAGACCACTATTTCCGGTGAAATATTGAATAACACGAACTACTGAGGGATAGAGGCTTTCTATAGGACTCTGCTCTGTTCCTTGCTTTTGTGTGTGTCTTTTAACCAGAGAAACTAATGCTGAAATTTTCAGAGGCAGCTTAAAAAAAGAGGCTTTTTTGATAGCACATTTGGTCATTATGATGTTGGAATTCAACAAAACTACCAAATCCACAGTTCTCAAATCAAGATGTTTAAATTATAACTTCCTTTTTTCATTAAGTATAAGTGAATACATTCATATGTAGAACATGTTTACCAAATGTGGACAATTAATACACCCAATACATATTCTAAAATTATTTCTCTAAGGATGGTACCTTAAAAAGGTGTTCATATGCTGTTCATAAGTGTAAATGAGACATTTTGACCCTCAGCATGAGTACACCAGAAGTATTTAAAAACATACGAAACATTTTGGTTTCATACTTCAATAGTTTGTATGTTTGTGTGTTTTTGCTTTTATTTCTAAATTTACCATGTGCTTTATTGTTTGCCTAAAAATGTTACTCATACCTGTTCTATTTTTATCATTTCCCTTATCATTTAGAAGGTTTGACAGAATACGTCTTCCCAGAATAGATGTTTAAAAGGGATTTATTTGGTAATGTTGGACTTTTAAATATACTTGTTTAATAAATAACTTTTTTAATTGATCATTTTGCCATTGTATTTTCTTGTATCTTTTGTTGCCTTTTTCTTTCTGTGTGTATAATATACCTGTTCACAACTTTGAGGAGAGATTTTGGATAGGTAGGATTTGAGATGGTAGGATTGAGATTCCTTTTAGGAAGAATGGTTTCAGTAGGCAGAGGGGACAAATTTCTCTCAGCAGAAGAAACGTATTTTCAGATGATTGAAGTATACATTTCAAAATAATTATGTGAGGTATGAAGTCACTGGTAAATAATAGCTACCTATGTAATTTAAGGATCTCTTATATATCAAGCATTGTGCTAAGAACTGTTTGTCATGTATATTTCTGAATTGGTTATATTGGATGTTTCTCATGGGGAACATTTTTTATGGTGAGCTTTCAGTTCTTTAACCTGATGGATAGATAGAAACAATGAAAACATTCATTTTTATAACCTGGTGGGTAGATACAAACAATGAAAAAATTCATTTTTATAGTTAACTAGACATAAATAATGAAAGTTTTAGTGTAAGTTTCTTTAGTCTTCTCCCTCAGAGGCAGTTACTATTGCCAGTATTACATGTATAGAGCTAGTTTATACAAGTGTACAGTGTATGCATTTTTGAAATTGTTGATACTTGCAGAAATTTTTGTTTAGTTTTTATGTAGGTTTTTTTTTAATTTGTTTATTTGGCTACGGCAGTTCTTAGTTGCCACATGCAGGATCGTTGATCTTTGATCTTGACTGGGGCAAGTAGGATTGTCCCCTGGCCAGGGCTTGAGCCCAGCCCCTGCGCGGGCCCCGGGGTTCAGCCCTGAGCCGCCAGGGAGTCCCTGTAGGATTGCTCCCTGGCCAGGGCTTGAGCCCAGCCCCTGCGCGGGCCCCGGGGTTCAGCCCTGAGCCGCCAGGGAGTCCCTGTAGGCCTCCAGTGGTCACTCACGACTACTGCGTTTTGTGCTGTACCAACAAAGGTCTTTCTTATTCCACAATTATACAATAACTCTCCCATTTTTTCTGTTGGTTTTAAAGTCTTAAATTTCAGATTCATATCCTTTATCCCAGTAGAGTCCATCTGGAGTTTATTTTGATAGAAGGTAGAAGGTAAGGACCCACTTTTTATTTCCTTCCAATATGCTATACCCAATACCATGTGTTTAAAACCCCAGATTTACTCTCTAACCTGCAGGTGTTGTATGCTAAATGCCCTTATATATTTGGGTTCGCTTTTGGGCTTTGTAGCTGGTTTCATGGGTTTGTTCACTTTCTGCCTGTACCACACTGTTCAGATTATTGCAACACTATGATACGTTTTGATGTACTATCTCATTACTTTTCTCTTACAGAATTTCTTGGCTATTCTTGTGGGTTATACACGTTTTTTTCTGGTTAACTTATTTATATACAGTAGAACTCATTACTTGTAGTATACATTTCTGTGGATTTTGACAAATCTTTGAAATTGTATATCCAGCCACCATGGCTCATGACTCCAAAGCTACCTCACGTCACTCTTTTGTAGTCGACTCTCCCACCTCCCAACCCCTGGCTTCCACTGATTGATTTTCCATTCCTGAGACTCTGCCATTGTTGTGGATTTATGTTTCTGTGTTAATATTTGAATCTTTCTGGCCTTTCCCTGAAATTGCATTTGTAGGTTGATATTGGCTGTGTTTTAAATCAGGAGTTAACTTAGAATTGCTATCTTAGTGTTGATTATTCTTATTAAGGATATCAGTGTAACTGTCTATTAATATTAATATACTATTTCTTTTTAGCTTTATTATAAAGTACTTTTTTTCATTTGGTATTCTGTAAGTGGTTTTTTTTTTTTCGTTATAAGATTATCTAGTTTTTTATGCTAATTTTGTGCCTTGCTACTGTAGTAATCATTTCCAGAGAAACAACATATATTTGTTTAAAAAGTATTTACTCAGATGATCATGGAGGCTAAGAAGTTGTGTGACCTGTTATCTTCTAGCCAGAGACCCAGGAAAGCTAGTGGTGTCGTTCAAAGACCTGAACGCCAGAGCGTCCACGGTGTAGAGTGCAGTCCAGTGTGGAGGCCTGAGAACCAAGACTGCAGGGGCAGATGGTCAGCGCCAGACCTCATACACGCAGGTAGAGCAGGTGTTTAACCTTCCTCCCCCGTTTTGTTCTCTTCAGGCCTTCACCAGATTGGATGATGCCCCCTGACACTGAAGGGCCTTCTTTCTGCTTCACTTAGTCCAGCAATTCAAATACTAATCTCCCTGAGACACCCCCCAGACACAGCCACAAATAATGAATGTTTAGCCAGCTATTCATGCATCTCTTGGCATCTCTCATCAAGTTGACATGTAAAATTAACCACCATAGCCACATTACTAAATAATCAGCATTTTTTTTCTTATTTCTTTTTATTTGAAGGATAATTACAATATTGTTTTGGTTTCTGCCATACACCAACGGGTCATGTTTTAAATGCATTACTTGGGTTTTACTTGAAAATAATCCTATCTGTGAAGGATGGCTAATGGTATTACCTCTTTTCTAACATCTGTGCATTAAATTTTCTTACGTCTTCTTTTGTCTGACTTCTTTTTCTTGCCAAGTTTGCCTGAGAGCTGCAGGGGTGAGCGTCTTTGTCAACATCTGCTCCACGCTTCACTCTCTCTGAATCTGGTAGTTCTTCATGTGTTGTGGATTTGTGTTCCTAATTTCTTCTAATTTCCTAGAAGTTGAAGTTTACAGTTTGTTTCACGTTCTCCTTACTGCTTTTGGATGATTCTTGAGAGAACAGAGAAGCTGTTTTACTACCCAAGTCTTATAAACTCCCTAAAAAGACGTTTTGATCCAAGTATCGGTCTTACAGTGAAATCCTTGTCTGGTAAATTGCAGAAAGTGACTTTGTTTTCCCGTCCTCTTTTCCTAACTCTACTGTTTCTGGTTTACTGTAAATAAATGAAAGTTCTCATGTCAAATGTGCTCCAGTCCAAGCAGAACTGGCTTTCAAAGTTCTCGATCCCTAGCACCCCTGCCCTTGACTGTGAACTGGCCTTACTGACTCATTTTTAAAGAACAGATTATGGAAACAGAACAGTATTCACTTTACAGAGAGGAAGGGTGACAGACACTGCCTTCACCAAGTGACCGTGGTAAACCCCAGTGATAAGTCATGTCCACATCATGTTCTGTGATGAGATACACTTCTCTGTGATCTAAAGTCCACAATCCCAGTCTACCCAGTCTAAGTATTAGGGAAAGAAAATAATCAGACAAACCCAAACTGAGGGACATGCTTATTACTCCTCAAAATGATTAAACTTATGAAAAATAATTATATGATAGACTATCACATCTGGATCATCGCTGGATCATCAAAAAAGCAAGACAGTTCCAGGAAAACATCTGATTCTGCTTTATTGACTATGCCAAAGCCTTTGACTGTGTGGATCACAATAAACTGTGGAAAATTCTGAAACAGGAATACCAGACCACCTGACCTGCCTCTTCAGAAACCTGTGTGCAGGTCAGGAAGCATCAGTTAGAACTGGACATGGAACAACAGACTGGTTTCCAAATAGGAAAAGGAGTATGTCAAGGCTGTATATTGTCACCCTGCTTATTTAACTTACATGCAGAGTACATCATGAAAAATGCTGGACTGGAGGAAGCACAAGCTGGAATCAGTATTGCCAGGAGAAATATCAATATCCTCAGATATGCAGATGACACCATCCTTATGGCAGAAAGTGAAGAAGAACTAAAGAGCCTCTTGATGAAAGTGAAAGAGGAGAGTGAAAAAGTTGGCTTAAAGCTCAACATTCAGAAAACTAAGATCATGGCATCCGGTCCCATCATTTCATGGCAAATAGATGGAGAAACAGTGGAAACAGTGTCAGACTTTATTTTTCTGGGCTCCAAAATCACTGAAGATGGTGATTGCAACCATGAAATTAAAAGACACTCCTTGGAAGAAAAGTTATGACCAACCTAGACAGCATATTAAAAAGCAGAGATTACTTTGCCAACAAAGGTTCGTCTAGTCAAGGCTATGATTTTTCCAGTGGTCATGTATGGATGTGAGAGTTGGACTATAAAGAAAGCTGAGCACCAAAGAATTGATGGTTTTGAACTGTGGTGTTGGAGAAGACTCTTGAGAGTCCCTTGGACTGCAAGGAGATCAGTCCTGGGTGTTCATTGGAAGGACTGATGTTGAAGCTGAAACTCCAGTACTTTGGCCACCTGATGGGAAGAGCTGACTCATTGGAAAAGACCCTGATGCTGGGGGGAATTGGGGGCAGGAAGAGAAGGGGATGACAGAGGATGAGATGGCTGGATGGCATCACCGACTCGATGGGCAGGAGTTTGAGTAAACTCCGGGAGTTGGTGATGGACAGGGAGGCCTGGCGTGCTGCGGTTCATGGGGTCGCAGAGTCGGACACGACTGAGCGACTGAGCGACTGAGCTGAACTGAACAATATGTGTAAATTCCAGGTACACAGCACAGCAATTCAGAAACACATGTTTGTTATTGATGTTCAGTTGCTGTGTCCTGTCTGACTCCTTGTGACCCCAGGCACGCCAGGCTTCCCTGTCCTTCACTGTGTCCTGGAGTTTGCTCAGACTCCTGTGCACTGAGTCAGTGATGCCATCCGACCAGCTAGTCCTCTGTACCGCTTCTCCTCCTGTCCGCACCTTGGTCTCAGCTTCTGTTCCCTTAGAGGTGGCTGCGTAATCCTGAGTCTAGTTCCCTGTGCTGTCCAGCAGGTCCGCGTTGGTTATCTGTTTTATACAGAGTAGTGTGTGTGTTCATCCTAGCCTCCCCCAGCCTCCCCTTTCCCTTTTGGGAACCATAAGTTTCTTTTCTGTGTCTGTGAGTCAATTCCTGTTTTGGAAGTAAGTTCATTTGTGTCTTTTTTTTCCCTTTAGGTTTCACATATAAATGATATCATATAATCTTTGTCTTTCTCTGTCTAGCTTACTTCACTTAGTATGATAATCTCTAGAGCCATCCATATTGCTGCAAATGGCATTATTTTATTCTTATATTTTTATTATTTAACTTAATAATTATCTATCTGACTTAAGCACAATAATTAAATGCCTATACATTCACATGTTTGTTTGTTTTTTTTTTGCTAAAATGAATATATTTCTTCTGGTTTAGCCCAGAGCTCTCTAAACGTTTTTGTTATTCACTCCATTATTTTATTTTATTTTTTAGAAGATATGGCTTATATACTTACACTTCAGTAGTTTGAAAAGAAATCAAGTGCATATATCTAATATATGCACATTTGTTTATATAGTAATACCTAGCATAGTTCAGTCTGGTTGGTGATTTTTTTTTTAAATTCATGCTGGCAGTCTTTGTCTTTTTAATAGTGTATTTATATCATTCACAAAGAAATTATATAGTTTGTATAGTAGTATTGATATCTACAATGTTCATTATAAGATGTATACAAGAATGCATAAGATAAAGATTAAATAAAATTTTTGCAGATGTCCCACAACTTGGGGTAGCCTTGTATGAACTACTTAGTATCTCAAAGCCCAATATAAACTTCGTTCAAGATTTGTTAGCGACAAGTATTTGTGTCTCCATTTTTCAAATTAATAATTTTTTTCTTCTCTAATCTGCTTAGGAGATAATAAAGAAACTTTGTATGTATTATGCAGTAGTCTAAGTACTTTTTGTGCATTAGTTTAATTTTAACCATATGAGGTAGGTGTTATGATGAAGAAATAGAGGCATAGAAACAGTAAGCCAGAGGTCACAGTTTGTAAGGGAAAGCATTTGGATTCTAGCCTACGTGTGTTCTCTCTTAGACTTGCACTGTTGATGTAGTAGCCACTAGGCACATGTGAGTATTTAAGTTTAAATCAGGTATGAAAAATTAAAATGCAGTTTCTCAGCTGCACTGGCTGCATTTCAGGTGTTCGGCAAGGGCATTAGAGACGGCCATGCTGGGCCCGCCCGTCCAGAGCGTCTCCATCATCTCAGTGAGCTGTGCTGGGCAGCCCTGACCTGCACGGTCGGCCACCACGCGTTCACCCGGTAGCATGGCTTTGGAGGGGCTCATCCTGTGGAACACGCTTGGGCACGGCTCTGTCTCAGTTGTTGGTGCTTATGTTGTTTGCATTGTCTTCAGTCCGTTTGGTTGGAATCTTTGAAAGATGGTTGTCTACTTTGTGGTGTTTGGTTTAGTGAACCGACGTGATGCAGCCCATCAGTCCATTCAGCTGGACACAAACTGCAGTATGTCGAAACACAGGAATCAGCGAGGACGGGAATGCCCAGCGTCCCCGGCTCCTTGCTGCTGGCACTCACCTCACGTGACTGACTATGATTGAGGTGAGAGTCTCGGCGCCATCTGCACGCAGGTCCATAGAAGCAGAGGTTTTAAAGAGTCTTCTTAGGGCTCGCATGTGCCTTGCAGTAGAGGCACCCTACTTGAAAGGTCTCTGCTGCAGATCTTTGACCTCGTACTTTTGACTTGTTTATCCCTCTTCTTCAGTGCTTTCCTTTTTATTTTATTAAAAATTTTTTTCATTTATCTTTGATGACATAGCATGCAAACTTCCCCAGCCAGGGGATTGAACCCATGTCCCCTGGGGGACACAGGTCCGAGCTGCGGGACCGACTGCCAGGGAAGTCCTGGTGCCTTGCTGTTTAAGTTATCGTTCCTCTGGCCGCCTCGTTGCGAAAGAATAAGCAAACCTTAAACCTGGAAACCAGCAGGGCTCTGCTCAGCAGGGGAACCGAAAGCTTAAGGGGACACAGATGCTTACTGTGTGGGATACAGGGCCAGAAGGAGACAATAAATAAAAGGGTAAGAAGAGTTCTCCAGAGTTGCTTTCTTTGATTCTTTTCAGAAAAATTGTGGTTTCTTCTTTGACAAGATAAAAATCCTTTCTTCTTAAGGTTTCTTGCAAACACATTTTCTGCTTTTAGTGCCACATTTTTTTTTTTTTTTGGATGGCTAATGGTATTTTTAACTTCTTTTTCACTGAAGTGTAGTTGATGTGCAACATTATATGTTACAAGTGTGTGATATAGTGACTCAGTGTTTAAAGGACATACTCCATTTATAACGGTGTTGGCTGTATTCCCTGTATTGTACAGTATACCTTTATAACTGCTTTTGTACGTAATAGCTTGTATGGTACTTAATCCCCCACCCCATGTTGTCCCCACCCTGCTCCTTCCCAGACTGTTGCTGCTCGGCCGCCAAGACGCATCAACTCTGCCACCCCATGGACTGCAGCATGCCAGGCCTCCCTGTCCCTCACCATCTCCTGGAGTTTGCCCAAGTTCCTGTCCATTGAGTCGGTGATACCATCCAACCATCTCATCCTCTGTCACCCTCTTCTTTATTCCATGATTCGTAGGGCCTGATATATCTTTGTTTTTTTAATGTGGATGACACAAAATCGGTATAAATGTAATTCCTTTCAGATACTTTTCAGTCATCTGTATTGTGTTTTAAAGTGAATCAGCCTACCTTCTTCTCTCCCTTCCGTCCATCCTTCCTTCATTTCACTCCTTAGACAGCATTTTTTAAATTATGTGTACATCTCCCTCCCTCCTCAGCCTCCCTTCCCCTCCCTCCCCCCCATCTCAGTTGTCATGGAACACCGCGCTGAGCTCCCGGGTTACAGAGCAGCTGCCCACCAGTTACCTGTTTTACCCTCGTAAACAGGGTAGTGTGTGTGTGGCAGACAGGATTTTTGAATACCACTCCCTTCCCATGTTCTAGGCTTGTGGTAATGTCGTCGATAAGACAGACAGGCCTTGTCCTCAAAGATGACAGCGCTCAGAACTAATCCCCACCCCCACCTTTCTCTTAGATGTAGACCATACAGTGCTTGCGGTTCACGGGCTACTAGTGCACCCGTCAGCGCTTCACTATGACGGCATCTCTTCGGAACATTGATGAGAGTAACTCTGATGGGCATTCACTTAGGTGACTTCCTTATTTTGATTGGCGTGATCGTTACAAGCTTGCACACCTGCATATAGGCTGATGTGCAGGGTTCAGTACAAAGGAGAACTGCTTAAAATATATTATTTCATTTTCTTACTTTCAAACATTGAGAAATAGGCTCTAGAGGGCTTTGTTTCTTCAGCTAGTTGACTGTACAGATATTCTCTGTAACAGGCACACGTTAGTTACTATGAATGCAGTGGAGAGAGGAGAAAGGGCTCAACAGATGGGATGGGTTGAAAAGGTTGAAAAAACGTGGATTTCTCAAGATAAACTCTTACCTCTAAAACGTGTTCCCTGGCCGTGTGAGGTCCCTCCCGGCGGACGGTGAGTCAGAGGGCAGAGGTCACGTCACTGTCCTGCGCATAACGCTTGTTCCCTCTTCACCGTCTGCTGTCGTGGCAAGTCGCTGTCGGCGCTCCACACGGGCTCAGGCTGTACTGAACTGGCTGTGAAAGCAGAAGCTGATTTCTTCATCCAGAGTGTGTAATATCGTGGAGAGATTCTGGTTCTAGAGAACTGGAAACCTGGGTTTTCAATCCCAGCTAGAGTGTCTCGTATTGGAGCCTCAGATGTATCGCCCAGCCGCAGCGGAGCCGTTCTCCTGAAAGAGGAGGCGACTGGATGAGACTGTCTCCTGTCACACTCCTGTGATTATTCTGTCACCGCTTCCCTTGTGGCTCAGCTGGTGAGGAATCTGCCTGAAGTGCCGGAGACCCAGGTTGAGTCCCTGGGTTGGGAAGATCCCCTGGAGAAGGGAGTGGCTACTCACACCAGTATCCTTGCTGGGAAATCCCTCGGCCAGAGGAGCCTGGCAGAGGCGGGCTACAGTCCATGGGATCACAGATTGAGGGGCTAACACGCTCACCACACAGTAAACGCAGGTTTACACATTGTGTGAGCAATCTCGGTTATAAAGTCCTTATTTCCATTCTTGAAATAAACAGCCTTGATTGGTTTTATCTGAACTTTCTAAAAAGAACTTAGGTTTCAACTTTAGACTCTGCATCTGCTCAGAGCGTGTGCATTAGACAATATGTAGTTAGAGGTGCGAACATGAACATTTTCAGTCGACTGTAAACTCTTCGGTCTCTTTGAGCAGACTCATCTTTCTCCCACAACCAGCCCCCCGTGATGCTCATCAGCCGCTACGGTTCATTTTGGAACTTTTACAGGCCCTATAGGCATCGCGGCCTCATCAGGTCAGCAGGTGCCGCTGGCGCCTGCAGGGCGCGGGGCCCCGCGCGCAAGACAGCGCCCTTGCTCTCAGGGAGGCTCGCCTCTGCAAGAAGAGCTAAAATGAGTGCACAAGTGGAACAATGGGAGCTGCGACCCAGAGTCTAAGCTAAGCTATTGAGACGCAGATTTTCCTTGACTTACTGTGGTTCATGTCCCAGTAGACCCGGAGTTAAGTTGAAAATACAGGTACAAAACGGATTTAACTTGCCGGACATCATAGCCTAGCTGTCTGAAACATACATTAGCCTACAGTTGGGCAAAGTCATCTAACACAAAGCCTATTTTAGAATAAAATATTGAGTAACTCATGTAGTTTATTGAACACTGAACTGAAAGTGAAAACAAGTGTGGTCAGCCGATTACAGGATGATGGTGAGTGACTCGGTCTTTTACCACCACGGTCATGTGGCTGTTGCTGGGTCAAGGCTCCCTGCTGGCCCGGCATCATGAGGGCGCCTCACCACATCTCACTGGCTGGAGATGAGATCAAAATGCAGGTACAATTTCTACTGAATGCTTATGACTTCTGCACCATCATACAGTTGAAAAAAAAGGTTGAACCACTGAAAGTTGGGGACTGTCTGTATTTTAAAGCAGGCCATGAGGGGACTATGGGAAGCCTTGCCAAGTTCTCTAACTACAGATCTGCTCTAAAATTTCCTGGTGAAGATTTTTGATTGCATGCTGCTAAAGCACTTGGACCTTGCCTGGAATCCTGTACCAGAGAGCTGTCTTAACCATTGAAATCCAGGGGCCAGAAAGTCTCTTGGAGACCAAGAGAACAGGGCCAGGACTGACCGTGTGGCTCATCAGTGGTGATCAGAGTGTATGAGCTGAGAGTGAAATCTTAATACAACTCACTCCTTTCAGTCTTGGACGGTAAGTGTATCCATCCTAGTAGCTTGGTGCTGAAAAGTCCGTTTTCCAAATGCTGTTGACCACAGTAGGTGGTTTGTTGGTTGGCCGATAGATCATTGTTATGTCTGTCCTCTTAAGATTCCTACTTGTCAAAGTCAGAGCTGACACTCCTTCAGCTTCCCAAGCATAGCAGCCACTGCCGCCAGTGCCTGGCGGATGGAGACTGTGCCTCCCTGGGACTTACCTCCTGCTCCCTCACCCGGTCTGAGGAGGTAAAGCCAGCGGTGTTCTGCTCGTTTTGTGTTTGAGCGAACGGACGTGGAACCATGTGTCCTACGTTTCCTGCTGATGTAACACCGGCGTGTTCTGGCGTGGGTTAGCAGTCTGCTCTCCAGACACCTCTGTTCATAGTCATTTCTGCGGAGTTACCCTGTGTGAGGTCACCAGGCCCCACATGTCCCTCACACCTTGCAGATACAGGACTAGCTCCTTCTGTGTGGTAGGGGAGGCCTCCTTTCTAAATATTGTGGTTTTAATTAGCAATGGCAAGTTTTTTTCTTAACTGAAAAAATAGAGATGTTCTATTTTCCTGGCGGAAACTTCTAACATCTTCTGACTATCTTGCTTTGCGGGGACACTTCACACATCAGGTTTTGATTTTCTTGCAGTTGTTTTCCATTCCAAGAGGAGCCAACTATTATCCTAAAAGGTCAGCATTTAGTTTCCATGCTTAGTCAAACAATGGAGCTTCATGACTATTTTTCTATTAAACACAGAGGGGTTTTTTCTTAAAACAGATGTCCTTCAGTTGCCTTTTAGGTGATTGCCTGGTGATTCAGAAGACTTAACACAAGAGCTGGCTACTTCTTCACTTCTTTTTCCAATTATTCCTGCAGGGGCTCCAGCTGAGGAGTGCCTTAGCATGTCTATAAAGGAAAAAAAAAGATATGAATCTTAAGGAGAGTACAAAAGTAGTTCCTGGGCAAGGGAACCAGTTAAACCCCTCTGCCCAGTCGTGCTAATGGCGCCTTGCATTGTTACTGCGCAGGCTCTGGAGTCCACAAGGCTGTCTATGAATCTTGTCACTATGATGTATTGGGTTAGCCAAGAAATTCGTTTGAGTTTTTCTTTAAGATGCTGCGGAAAAACCCAAATAAACTTTTTGGCCAACCCAATACAATACTGTTTAGGCTCTCACCCAGTAATATTCATCCTCCTCGTCTCCTGCGTAAAGAAGCTTAATTTTGTGTGGGTGAAACTGTTTCTCCTACATATTTTCTTTTCAGGTGTCACCTGCAGCTGGCATGGCCGAATATGACCGAGTCCTGGCCTCCCGAGCAAGGGATGCAGTGTTTGACCAGGAGGAAAGGCCCGCGCCGTCTCAGCCCCCAGGGGTGCAGCTGCAGCATCGGCTCCTGCCTGCCCCCGCCCCCCTGCACCCCCGGAGTAAGGGTGGGGTCTTTAGCCTGAGCCGGCAGCCTGAGTCTATAATGCAGCACCAGTTGTTGCCAGCCCAGCTAGCTCATCGGATGAAGACTCCATGACAGAAGAGGCGAGCTGAGGCCGGGGCTCCTACCCTTCCCCGTCTCCACTCGGAAAGCAGGTGTCCCTCTGAGAGCCGCAGAGCGGTCCCCATCCCACACCTAGAACTGTGCTTCAGAGGTTTTGCCCAGGGGGCGAGACGCAGCAAATAAGAACAAAGAGCTCTGAGGCGCTCCCATAAAAGAGTTGACTTTATTTGAAACAGAACAAGGGGAAATTCAAGCCCAAGGGCATTTTCTAAAACAATGGAGACTTAAGGAAGTAAAAACAGTAACAATACTGAGCTGTGAATGGGACTGGTGAGAGAAGCAAGGTCCGATGCTGTAAAGAGCAGAATTGCTTAGGAACCTGGAATGTTAGGTCCATGAATCAAGGAAAGTTGTAAGTGGTCAAACAGGAGATGGCAAGAGTGAATGTCGACATTCTAGGAATCAGCGAACTAAAATGGACTGGAACATGTGAATTTAACTCAGATGACCATTATGTCTACTACTGTGGGGAGGAATCCCTTAGAAGAAAAGGAGTAGCCATCACGGTCAACAAAAGACCCTGAAATGCAGTACTTGGATGCAATCTCAAAAACAACAGAATGATCTCTATTCGTTTCCAAGGCAAACCATTCAATATCACAGTAATCCAAGCCTATGCCCCAACCAGTAATGCTGACGAAGCCGAAGTTGAACAGTTCTATGAAGACCTACAAGATCTTTTAGAACTAACACCCAAAAAAGATGTCCTTTTCATTGTAGGGGACTGGAATGCAAAAGTAGGAAGTCAAGAAACACCTGGAGTAACAGGCAAATTTGGCCTTGGAGTACAGAATTAAGCAGGGCAAAGGCTAATAGAGTTTTGCCAAGAGAAGGCACTGGTCATAGCAAACACCCTCTTCCAACAACACAAGAGAAGACCCTACACATGGACATCACCAGATCGCCAACACCAAAATCAAATTGATTATATTCTTTGCAGCCAAAGATGGAGAAGCTCTATACAGTCAGCAAAAACAAGACCAGGAGCTGACTGTGGCTCAGATCATGAACTCCTTGTTGCCAAATTCAGACTTAAATTGAAGAGAGTAAGGATAACCACTAGACCATTCAGGTATGACCTAACTCAAATCCCTTATGAATATACAGTGGAAGTGAGAAATAGATTTAAGGGACTAGATCTGATAGAGAGCCTGATGAACTATGGATGGAGGTTCGTGACATTGTACAGGAGACAGGGATCAAGACCATCCCCATGGAAAAGAAATGCAAAAAGGCAAAATGGTTGTCTGAGGAGGCCTTACAAATAGCTGTGAAATGAAGAGAAGCGAAAAGCAAAGGAGAAAAGGAAAGATATTCCCATTTGAATGCAGAGTTCCAAAGAATAGCAAGGAGAGATAAGAAAGCCTTCCTCAGCGATCAATGCAAAGAAATAGAGGAAAACAACAGAATGGGAAAGACTAGAGATCTCTTCAAGAAAAAGAGATACCAAGGGAACATTTCATGCAAAAATGGGCTCAATAAAGGACAAAAATGGTATGGACCTAACAGAAGCAGAAGATATTAAGAAGAGGTGGCAAGAATACACAGAAGAACTGTACAAAAAAGATCTTCATGACCCAGATAATCATGATGGTGTGATCACTCACCTAGAGCCAGACATCCTGGAATGTGATGTCAAGTGGGCCTTAGAAAGCATCACTACGAACAAAGATAGTGGATGTGATGGAATTCCAGTGAGCTACTTCAAATCCTGAAAGATGATGTTGTGAAAGTACTGCACTCAATATGCCAGCAAATTTGGAAAACTCAGCAGTGGCCACAGGACTGGAAAAGGTCCGTTTTCATTCCAGTCCCTAAGAAAGGCAATCCCAAAGAATGCTCAAACTACTGCACAATTGCACTCATCTCACACGCTAGTAAAGTAATGCTCAAAATTCTCCAAGTCAGGCTTCAGCAATACGTGAACCGAGAACTTTTAGATGTTCAAGCTGGTTTTAGAAAAGGCAGAGGAACCAGAGATCAAATTGTCAACATCTGCTGGATCATCAAAAAAGCAAGAGAGTTCCAGAAAAACATCTATTTCTGCTTTATTGACTACACCAAAGCCTTCGACTGTGCGGATCACAACAAGCTGTGGAAAATTCTGAAAGAGATGGGAATACCAGACCACCTGACCTGCCTCTTGAGAAACCTGTATGCAAGTCAGGAAGCGACAGTTAGAACTGGACATGGACCAACAGACTGGTTCCAAATAGGAAAAGGAGTAAGTCAAGGCTGTATATTGTCACCCTGCTTATTTAACTTATATGCAGAGTACATCATGAGAAACGCTGGGCTGGAAGAAGCACAAGCTGGAATTAAGATTGCCAGGAGAAATATCAATAACCTCAGATATGCAGATGACACCACTCTTATGGCAGAAAGTAAAGAGGAAGTAAACAGCCTCTTGATGGAAGTGAAAGAGGAGAGTGAAAAAGTTGGCTTAAAGCTCAACATTCAGAAAACTAAGATCATGGCATCTGGTCCCATCACCCCATGGGAAATAGATGGGAAGACAGTGGAAACAGTGTCAGACTTTATTTTTTGGGGCTCCAAAATCACTGCAGATAGTGATTGCAGCCATGAAATTAAAAGACGCTTACTCCTTGGAAGGAAAGTTATGACCAACCTAGATAGCATGTTAAAAAGCAGAGACATTAAAGGAAAAAAAAAAAAGCAGAGACATTACTTTGCCAACAAAGGTCCATCTGGTCAAGGCTATGGTTTTTCCAGTAGTCATGTATGGATGTGAGAGTTGAACAGTGAAGAAAGCTGAGTGCCGAAAAATTGATGCTTTTGAACTGTGGTGTTGGAGAAGACTCTTGAGAGTCCCTTGGACTGCAAGGAGATCCAACCAGTCCTTCCTAAAGGAGATCAGTCCTGGTTGTTCATTGGAAGGACTGATGCTGAAGCTGAAACTCCAATACTTTGGCCACCTCATGCCAAGAGTTGACTCATTGGAAAAGACCCTGATACTGGGAGGGATTGGGGGCAGGAGAAGAAGGGGACGACAGAGGATGAGATGGCTGGATGGCATCACTGACTCGATGGGCATGAGTTTGAGTAAACTCCGAGAGTTTGTGATTGACAGGGAGGCCTGGCCTGGCGTGCTGCAATTCATGGGGTTGCAAAGAGTCGGACACGACTGAGCGATTGAACTAAGGAAGTAAAGTCTCAGTTATGTCGACTCTTCGCGACCCCATGGATGGTAAGCCTACCAGACTCCTCTGCTCATGGGATTTTCCAGGCAAGAGGACTGAAGTGGGGTGCCATGTCCTTCTCCAGGAATGGAGACTTGGTGGTAGGGAATTAAGAAGGGCTGGTAGCTCTGAGAGATCAAGTTAACCAGTGGGCCAACTGGTTTATTAGAAGGAATTGGAAAGAGAGAGCTTCTAAGAGCCTTCCTGATGTGAGGAAAAACCTCAAAGCCATGCCTCAAACTATCCATGATTTTTAATTAGATGAAAGTGAGGAGCAGTTTCTCGTCCAGGTACTGTCAGAAAGAAGAGAGCAGTCCCATGTAATTAGTGGAGCCTGACAGTCAACGGTGATACAGAGAGACAGATAGCTGCACAGAGAAATCAGAGGAAGAGAAGGCCAGAGAGAGCCCTGCTAAAACCATTGGCATCCCGGGGTGACTGCTCATGCCCAAGCCTCCCATTGTGGGCATGGGGGTGGGAAAGGAGACCCCGATCTCATTAAAAGAGTGTAGCCAAGCCACTGGACAAACGGACAAGTGCGCTCACACGCACACACGAAGCCCCAGCAGGAGAGGAAAGAAATCTGCATCCAGATTTGCTGCCACGTATTACCTAGAATGTCCCCTTAAAACAAAAGACAAGCCACGGGAAGAAACGGGGAAGTATGACTCGTCCACAGAAGAAAATCAGAATGCAGAGACTGTGAGCGGGCTAGAGACCAAAGTCAATCCAGTCTCCCACGCAGCCATTCCAAGTACGGCCAGAGGACTGAGAAGCTCTACTTGAGGACACAGAGGAGCTGTGATGAGAACATCTCATCAAACAATGTCAATAAAGATGCAGAAATTATAAAAAATAAGCAAACGGAAACTCTGGAATTGGAAAGTGTTTACCGAAATGAAAAATTCACTGGAGGGACCAACACATTTGAAAGAATTAGTGAGGTGGACATTAGACTGACAGAGACTTTGCAACCCAAAGGACAAAACACAAAGTGAGTGGAGAGAAATGGACAGAGCATCAGAGAAGCGTGCACCATTTTGCATAAATGTACACGTAGTGGGCGTACCAGGAGAGGAGGGAAGGGAGCGGAAAATAAGCTCCAAGGAAATAACAGCTGGAAACACCCCAGGGATGAGGACCAGTATATCTACATCTCAGGAGCTCAGTGACTCGCAAGCAGAAAACACAGAGACGCATCGCAGTGAAGACGTGGAAACAAAGGCAAAGGGGAAAATCTGAGAGCAGCAGGAGAGGAACCCCACTGAGACTCATGCCTGGCGTCCCAGAAACAACGGAGGCAGGAAGACAGTGGTGCGACGCAGCCGGAGTGCTGAAGAGCAAAGAGCAATCTGACGTCCTGCAAAGCCTTCACAAATGAAGGCAGATAAAGACGGTCTTCAATAAAAGCTGAGACGATGTGTTGCTAGCAGACTCACCGTACTAGAAACAATAGAGGGAGTTCTTAAGGCTGAAAGCAAGTGACTGCAGGCGGTAATATGAACCCCCTTCGTGAAAAAACAAAGAACACTGGTAAAAGTAATTATGTAATTATGAAAGAAAATGCAAATGCATATTTCCCCTCCTTTCTACTCTTAATTGATTTAAAAAGCAATTGTTAGGCCTAAAACGTACAGAAATGTAAACCATCTAACAGAACAGTGCAATGAAAGCAGGTGGGAATAAAGCTGTACTGAAATAAGAAAAAGACACTAGATCACAATTTGAATCCACAGGAACAAATAAAGAGAACCAGAAGTGGTAAATAAGAATGTGACTATATCAAACTCTGTAAGTATACTTTCTTTCATTTCTCAGTTTCTTGAATAGACATGAAATTATATTATGGCACATATATAACACTATATTGTTGGTGTTGTAATATATATGTAGATGTAATAGGTACAACAATAAAAGCCCCCTAAAGGGGAATAAGAAATAGATATGTTAAGAATAATGTTTCTATATCTCACTGAAATTAAGTTAATATCCTAGGTTTTGATAAGTTAAGATATATATATATGATAAACCCTAGAGAAACCACTAAGAAAATAATTCATAAAAATATAGTTAAAGGAAATAAAATGTTACTCTTAATGCAAAAGAAAACCTTAAAGGAGGAATAAAGAAGAAGAAAAAGGATGAGAAAACAAAAATTAAAATGGCAGGTGTACATCTAACTATATCAGTAGCAAAAAGTATAATGAAAACTGTTATCAGTAACAAATGTGAGTGAATTAAACAATCCAATCAAAAGGCAGAGATGTCAAACTGGATTAAAAAATAAAAAACAAGATTGACTACATACTGCCCAGAGGAGACACAATTTAAATTCAAAGTTAGAAATAGGTTGAAAGTAAAAGGATGGATAAAAATACCAGGTAGGGACTTCCCTCGCAGTTCGGTGGTTAAGACTTTGCCTTTCAATGCAGGAAGCGTCGGTTCAATTCCTGGTCAGGGAGCCAAGATCCCACAGGGCCAAAGAACCAAAACATGGAAACAGAAACAATATTGTAATAAATTCAATAAAGACTTTAAATATGGCCCATATCAAAGAATCTTTTTAAAAATACCATGCAAAACAGGAAGCTGGAGTCAATTTAAAAAGCTGAGTGGCTGTACAAATATTAGGCAAATGAGACTTCAAAGCAAAATCTCTGTTACTAGCGATAGAGACGTTTTATAATGATAAAGGGCTCGCTCCTCCAGAAGATACAATGGTCATTAAGTACACACCTGCCTATCAGCAAAGCCCCGACTGCATGAAGCACCAGAGAAGTGAAGGAGAAGCGGACAGTCCGGCGGTAACAGCCGGGGCTGCACGCATCCACTCTCAGTGATACTCAGAGCCGTTAGGCAGAAGACCGAAAAGTGAAGACAAGGCTTGAACAGACTATAAACCCTCCAGATCTGATGGCCATCCTCAGAGCACTCTGCTTAGAAGTGAAATGCATATTCTCCTCAAGTGCACAGACCACATGGTCAGCCATGAAACAGTCGCAATAAATTTATAGGGGTGGAATTCATACCGTTTTCTGAACACAGTGGAGTAAAATCAGAAATCAGTAAACACAAAGAAGTTTCCATAAATAAGTGGAAATTAAATAACAGACTCATAAATAACGGAAATTAGAAAATACTATGAGATAAATGAAAATGGAGGCTCACCCACCAAAACGTATAGGATACAGCTAAACATCGCTTATGGGATAATTTACATCTGTAAATGCCTACATAGAAAAGAAGAAAGATCTCAGGTTAGTATCTCACCTTCTAAACCCAAATCAAGCATAAAGAAGGAAATAGTAAACACTAGAGCATAAATAAAGTGGAAAATAGAAAAAAAATAGAGAAAATAAAGAAAATTAAAAGTTGGCTCTTTGAAAAAGGTCAACAAAGTTAACAAGTCTTGATCTAGATTGACCAAGGGGGAAGAAACTCAAATTAGTAAAATCAGAAATAAAGAAGAGATATTACTACCAAGCTTCCAGAAACAAGAAGGATTGTGAACACTGAAAACATTATGCTAAATGGAAGAAGCCATTTACAAAATCCCAACCTCCCAATTTACCCCTCCTACCCTCTCCCCACTCGGTAACCACGAGCTTGGTTTCCACACCTGTGACTCTTACCTATGTTTTGTAAATAGGTTCACTTGTACCATTTTTTTGTTAAGATTCCACATATAGGCGGTATCATGCATCTGTCTTTCTCTGACTTACTTCACTCAAGTGAAGTCTTGAGTCTTTCAAATGCAAGGGACGGAAAGTCAACCAGAACCAGCTCTGGCAAAAGAGCGACCTGAGCCGCCAGGGTTCAGGCACCGTTGGATCGATCACCTCTCCACCTTATGGTCTCCCCTGGTGGTTCATACCGGAAAGAGTGTGCCTGCGATGCAGGAGACAGGAGACGCGGGTTCGATCCCTGGGTGGGGCAGATCTCCTGGAGCAGGGAAAGGCAGCCCCCTCCAGGATTCTTGCCTGGGGAATCCCGTGGACAGAGAAGCCTGGCGGGCTGCAGCCCCTGGGGTCGCAGAGAGTCGGACACGACTTGGCGACTGTCGCTCACTCACCCCACCCTGTGGGGCTGCTTGCCTCGGGTCGGCCTCGGTTCTGCCTGCCGCAGACGGGGCTTACACCCAAGGTAAAGGGGCGTTGGTCGCCCTGGATTCGCCAACCCCAGTTCAGCAACCCCAGGACCAAAAGCTTTCCTCTTCTACCATGCATCTGTGATTCCCGGAGGACGCCCTGCCTGGCTGGGTGCTCCCCTCTGCCCGGCCCGGGGGCCAAAGAGGCAGGCTGTGCGGGCTGTGCCCGCCTGGGGCACGTTTCCACCTCTGGCGAAGGAAGCACCATCTAGTCCAAATTGCCAAGACCGCAAGAAATGCTGTAGGGTGAGGACGTTTCCTCATGGTAAAGGAGGAGCTCCTTTTCCGGAAGAAGAGGGCAGGCGAAAGCAATAGCTGGGAGGAGGAAATGGCAACCCCCTCCAGAGTTCTTGCCTGGAGACCCCGTGGACAGAGGAGCCTGCAGTCCGGGCGGCCCCAAAGGCTTGGACACGACTCTGACTGAGCAGCAACAAAAGCAACAGCTACCCGTGGCGGAGACTGACGGCCCCTGAGTATCTGCTCTTCCCTTTCTGTTTATTTATTTTAAAGTAATTCTATTTATTCGTTTAAGTGGCTGTGCTGGGCCTTAGTTGAGGCACGTGGGGTTTACTTCCCTGAGCAGGGGTTGGACCCAGGACCCTGTATGGGGAACACAAAGTCTCAGCCACAGGCCACCAGGGGGAGGTCCGTTTCCCTTTCTCTTTGCCCATTGTTTTAGCTGTGGGTCTGTCTACCCGGAATAAAGGCATATTTCTCAGACTCGTTCGCAACCAGGTATGGACATTTGACTAAAGCTGCAAAATGAATGTATGTAGAATTCTTATATGACAGCTTCTGAAAATCTTTTTTCAAAAGTATCTGTTATGTACCCTTTCCCTCACTTAAAAAAAATTTTTTTTTAATTGAAGGATAATCGCTTTACATAATTTTGCTGTTTTCTCTCAAACCTCAACATGAATCAGCCAAGGTATACATACACCCCCTCCCTTTTGAACCTCCCTCCCACCTCCCTCCCCATCCCACCCTCTAGGTGATACAGAGCCACTGTTTGAGTTTCCTGAACCACACAGCAGATTCCCACTGGTTATCTATTTTACATATGGTAATATGTTTCCATGTTATTCTTTCCATACATCTCAGCCTCTCCTCCCCTCTCCCCATGTCCGTAAGTCTATTTTCTATGTCTGTTTCTCCACTGCTGCCCTGTAAATAAGTTCTTCAGTACCATTTTTCTAGATTCTCTATATATGTGTTAGAATACGGTATTTATCTTTCTCTTTCTGACTCACTTCACTCTGTGTAATAGGTTCTAGGTTCATCTACCTCATCACAACGGACTCAAATGTGTTCCTTTTTATGACCAAGTAATGTTCCATTGTGTACATGTGCCACAACTTCTTTATCCATTCATCTGTGGATGGACATCTAGGTTGCTTCCATGTTATATTGTAAATAGTGCTGCAGTGAACAGTGGGATACATGTGTCTCAATTTTGGTTTCCTCAGGGTATATGCCTAGGAGCGGGATTGCTGGGTCATTTGGTGGTTTTATTCTTAGTTTTTTAAGGAATCCCCATGCTATCTTCCATAGTGGCTGTATCAATTTACATTCCCACCAACAGTGCAAGAGCATTCCCTTTCCTCCACACCCTTTTCAGCATTTATTGTTTGTAGACTTTTTGATGAGGGCCATTCTGACCGGTGTGAGGTGATACCTCTTTGTAGTTTTGATGTGCATTTCTCTGATAATGAGCGATGTTGAGCATCTTTTCATGTGTTTGTTAGCCATCTGTATGTCTTCTTTGGAGAAATGTCTGTTTAGATCTTTTCCTCATTTTTTGATTGGGTTGTTTGTTTTTCTAGTACTGAGTTGAATGAGCTGCTTGTACATTTTGGAAATTAATCCTTTGTCAATTGTTTCATTTGCTATTAGTTTCTCCTGTTCTGAGGGTTGTCTTTTCATCTTGCTTATAGTTTCCTTTGCTGTGCAAAAGCTTTTAAGTTTAATCAGGTCCCACTTGTTGACTTTTGTTTTTATTTCTATTACTCTAGGAGGTGGGTCATAGAGGATCTTGCTTTGATTTATGTCATAAAATTGTCTGCCTATATTTTCCTCCAAGAGTTTTATAGTTTCGGGTCTTACATATAGGTCTTTAATTCATTTTGAGTTTATCTTTGTGCATGGTGTTAGGAAGTGTTCTAATTTCACTCTTTACACATAGCTGTCCAGTTTTCCCAGCACCATTTATTGAAGAGCCTGGCTTTGGCCCATTGTATATTGTTGCCTCCTTTGTCAAAAATAAGGTCCCACAGGTGCATGGGTTTGTTTCTGGGCTTTCTGTCTTGCTTCGTTGGTCTGTATTTCTGGTATGTGCCAGCACCACACTGTGTCGATGACTGTAGCTTTGAAGTATAACCTGAAGTCAGGAAGCTTGATCCTCCAGCTCCATTCTTCTTTCTCAAGACTGCTTTGGCTATTCAGGGTCTTTTGTGTTTTCACATGAATTGTGAAATTATTTGTTCTAGTTCTGTGAAAAATGCCATTGGTAATTTGGTAGGGATTGCATTAAATCTGTAGATTACATTTGGTAGTATAGTCATTTTCACAGTATTGATTCTTCCTACCCAGGAACGTGGAATATCTCTCCATCCGTTTATGTCATCTCTCACTTTTCTTATGGTTTTTTCCTGCCTTTCTTTTGGAGTGAAGATGCATAGCTGGTTCTCTACCTGACATTTGGATCAGGAAGCCACACTGTAGAGTCCCTGAGGACCTTGGAAAGCAGAGCAGCCAGCCTCCCTGGACTCTCGGTCTAGTTTCAACATTTTAGGTGAAAGAAAGAATCATCTGTCTGGCTTCAGGGACTATGTTTGACACATGCACACCACAGTTCACTTCAGGGCAATCCAATAATTTCTCCCTAATTACTTTGCTTCCTCAAATCCTAATTATGGTCTTAAGTCTAAATAAGTAGTATGATGTAGTTATTCATTTAGTTAACAAATATTCTTTGAGATCTACTATGTACCAGTTCTGAGCAACAGGGAAGGAAACTGTTCAGTAGTCTATGGAGTTTAAATTTTAGACAGGGAAGAAGAAATAAAAGAACAGACATACATTTTATAAACGGTATCAACATGCTAAGAAAATAAGCATGGTCAAGGATCGAGGGGGTGTGCGTGCTGGGGTTAGTTTATGTCGGTTGGTGCGGGGGAATCTGCTCTGACCACATGCTATGGGAGCGGTGACCTGGTGTGCGTCTATGCAGGGTGACGCGGGGGGATCCGCTCTGACCACGTACTGTGGGAGCGGTGACCTGGTGTGCGTCTATGCAGGGTGACGCGGGGGGATCCGCTCTGACCACGTACTATGGGAGCGGTGACCTGGTGTGCGTCTATGCAGGGTGACGCGGGGGGATCCGCTCTGACCACGTACTGTGGGAGCGGTGACCTGGTGTGCGTCTATGCAGGGTGACGCGGGGGGATCCGCTCTGACCACGTACCATGGGAGCGGTGACCTGGTGTGGTGACGCGGGGGGATCCGCTCTGACCACGTACCATGGGAGCGGTGACCTGGTGTGGTGACGCGGGGGGATCCGCTCTGACCACGTACCATGGGAGCGGTGACCTGAGAAAGGAAGGAGTCAAGGTTAATTTTATGTCAGTTGGATTGGGCCACAGGCTCCGTAGGTGTCCAGTTAAACGCGAGCGTCTGTGGGGGAGTTTGGGTGAGGGAAGCAGACCGCCGCCCTGAGACGGCGCACGTCACCCAGGTCAGTGCACGGAACAGGTGGCTGAGCAAGAGCGAGATCCCTCTCAGCCTGGCCCTCCTCCAGCTGGGGCCGCAGTCTCCTTGTGCCTTTAGACTCAGACTGGAACGTCCACCTTCTCTCCTGAGTCTCCAGATCCCACACTTCTCCACCCCACAGCCTGTGGGCCCATTCCCTAGAGGAGATCTCTTTTGAGCATGGGGAGAAACAGAAGGCCAACAAGTTTAGAGCAGTAATTCTCAAACGTTTTAGCTTCAGGACCCTGTTGCACTCCTAAAACCTACTGAGGATTCCCAAGAACTTTTGGTTGTATGGATTCTAGATATATTTGTCATATTAGAAGTTAAAAATGAAGACAGTTAAAAGTATGTATTGTTTCATTTAAAATTGTAATAATAAATGTGTCACATATTAATGTAAATAATATTTTATTTAAAATAACTATATTTTTCAAAACAAGAGCATTTTAATGAGAAGGAGAATATTGTTTTGCATTTTCTTGCAAGTCTCTTGAAAGTCTGGCTTGCTGGAGGATAGCTGGATTCTCATAGCTGCTTCTGTGTCCAGTTAGTTGTATTGTGTTGTTCTGGTTTTAGAATATGAAGAAACTCTGGCTTCACACAGACACACGGTTGGAAAACATGAGAGTATTTTAATAGCCTTTTTAGATGTTTGTGGTTATGCTTCTCTGATTCCGCATCAAAACTCAACAAGTGATAGTCTTTTAAAGGGAAGTTGCAATGTGGGATTTGGAACTATATCAACAAAATGTTTATTCTCTGAGAACACAGACATGAAAACAACATCACGGTCTTAGGGTGAGAGCAGCCTTGGCCCCCACACTCTAAAATGGGCGTCAGGACCTAAACTGTGAGACCCACTGCTTTAGAGCAGAGTGACAGGAAATAATGGGTGAGGACGTCACCACGGACTTCACATGGGAGCTGTGATCAGACTTGAAAGCTTATTCTGAGTGAAACATAAAGCCATCATGGGGTCTTGAGTGGAGAAGTGAGTTGGTGTAACATTTCAGTTCAGTCTCTGCATCCATGGAGAATAGATTATGGAGGTTGAGGGTGACGCAGAGCATTGGCTAGAAGGCAGCTGCAATCACCATGTGGGAGATGACGGCGCCTTAGACACAGAGGCAAGATGGAGGGGGTCTGGGTTGCCAGATGAACATCTCTGGAGCAACAGAAATGAGATCTATCTTTGCTATTGTCATCTTGCCACCACGTGAAAGCTGATGGAATAAACGGCTTTAAGCAGAAGCCTTTACTCCTTTTGTGATGCTGTGGGCATCTGCCTAGTCTCTTGCTGTCTCAGAAGATCAGAGTGTATCAGAGGGTGAAGGAACACCAGGGAGTCAGTAATCTGTCAGGGACTTGTGCATCATCCTCTGAGGAACAGGAGGGTCTCCATGAACAGTAACCGCAGAAATGCTAGGAAACCGGTAGAGCGGCACTGCAGGGCCCTGCTCCAGCCGGAGCAGCCTCGCTGTTTTCCGCTTTATCAGCGAAGCCTTTACCAGCTTTTGTCCAGAGAAGGCGTCCGTGGCTGACGAGAGCCTGGGAATCCGTCTTGGCCCTCTGCTGAGTCGGTGCAGCTTCAGAATCCTCGACACTAATCTACGAGCACCAGGCCAGGACTGGCAGTGTAGACGGTAATACTTGTCGTGCCTCATGGAAGCCCAAACTTGCGATCTCATCACACGGCGTCAGTCTCAACACCTCCTGCTCTGACTTTACCAGCTTCTACTTTTCACCACCCTGCTCTCCTGGCCTGGTAACCGCCCCCATACAGAGATCAAAGAAAGGTCAAGCTGAAGATACATTACAGAGCATAGGGGCTGAGAACAAACCTTCAGAGGACAAGGGTGCCAGGCAGAGGGGAGACCGTGCAGGAAGGCAGATGGGTCCAGAAGTGTGGGTGTCTCAGCTCAAGGCATTCGAATTCAGAATTTTTAAAAATTCCAGGAAACAATGACAGTAAGTCTAGGAAGCACAGGGAAACATCCCACAGTGCCTCCTGGGCTTTTTTTGCGGGGAGGGGGAGCCTCTCTGGAATCTCAAATTGGTCCAGCTTGCCCATTTTTCAGAGGAGTCTTAGTGGAGGTGCCATGTCTTGAGAGGCTGTGTAGTTTGGGGAATTAGAGCTTGGATTTCAGAGTCCGACAGACCTGGTTTGCATCCTAGGACCACTCCGCTGGATGCGTGACCTGGCAATAACGCCCTTGGTGCGCCTGCATTTCCTCACCCGCCCATCCCCAGGAAGCACACGGCCCGGGGCCTGGCACGGTTAGTGCTCAGCAGGGGCTGTTTGTGCTACTCCTGGATAGGGTCCCACACGACCAGTTCGGTGCCAATGCCAAGAGTGCCCGTCCTTCTGAGGCTTCACCTCCAGGAGGTCTGTCCCGGATGGCTGGTCTCTGCGCGCGTGCGCTGGCGCGGACTCGGCTGCGAAGACACAGACGAGGGTTGGAAAGCCGTGACCTGGACGAAGGGAGGGTTCCGGGAGCTTCCCTGGGCCTGAGGCTGTTTCTCGAGAGCATCTGCTTTGCCTTAAGCGTGGGGTCCCTTCAGGGAATGTTTTGAAAGGAAGCGGATTTCTGTCCTGGGTTTCCCCAGTCCTGCCCTGTGTTGAGCAGAGGCCGGGCCTGGGGCTCTGTGCAGCAGAACTGCCCCCCGGGAGCGCCAATTTACTCAGAGTGAACGGAGTGGCTGTCAGGAGGGAACGATTTTCCAAGGGCTCAAATCTAGAACAGATTTGAACTAATGCCCTGGAATTAAAACTCATCCTGTTTCTGGTTGAATACAGAATGATGTTTCCAAATGTGGTTTTAAGCATGTTGCTTGGATGGGTTTTCTGTTGCAGTATACCCTTCTCTAGAGTGTTAAACACTTTATGAATATCTGTTTGCTCTTTCGGTACAGTGTGGTTTTGATTAAATTATGCTCACAATTCTGGAGAAATGTTGTCTCTGACATATCCATGCAGTGTAGGTTTTCAGAACTTAAAAAGAAAGGCTTTTATAGAGGGTCCACTCTGTCAATTCAGGACTGGGGACTTGCAAGTTAATCCCTCGTAATTAAATAAATTTTAACATGCTTAAGGGAGGAGGCAGCATAGTATAATGGTGAGAATATGGCATTGGAATCACAAGGACAAATTCCAGCTCTTTCTTGTCCAGGTGTGTGCCTTCATTAAGTCACTCACATCTGTCTGAACTTCTCTTTCCTCATCTCTCAAATGAGCACAATAACATCTCCTACTCAGGACAGGGCTGTTAGGAGGTTCAAACTGCAAAATGGGTTTTGAATACTTAGCTTGGTGTGTGGGAATTAGTGGGTGCTTCTGCACACCAGATTGAAACCCTGCACATCTTACCAGCCTTTGATGAGCAAAAACAGTGACTCACATCTGCACAATCCGAATGAACTAATCATGAGTTTAGGAGTCTTCAGTGCAGGGGGAGTCATCTTCAGAAGTTTTCTTGTCATACATCAAATGCTGGGGGAAAGTCAAGCACAGAACAGAGGACACCATCTCTTTCCCCTTTCCTGGGCTTTCCAGGGATCAGTGGTATTTGCTCTGTGACCCCCTGGGGGGCAGGGGGGGATGGGGATTCCGGAGGGAGGGGACCATGGACGCCTGTGGCAACTCATGCTGGTGTAGGGCAGAAGCCAACGCAGAACTGGAAAGCAGTTATCCTTCAATTAGAACAACATAGAAACTGCAGGAACATCCCTGGTGTCCAGGGGTAAGATGCCACACTGCCAGCGCAGGGGGCCGGGGTTCGATCCCTGGTCGGGAAACTGACCCCACGTGCCACAGCTAAACATCCCGCAAGCCACAAGGAAGGTCGGAGACCCAGGGGAGCCACACAAAGAGCAGCTACAGAGGAAGTCCATAGCTGCTGCTGCCGAACGAGTCCTGCCTGAGTCACAGCTCTGGCGGGCAGACCATGAGCTGAGACGCACCTTCCATGTGGAGCAGAAGCGACTTCTCCGGAGAGACTGCGGGGCTTGAGAAAGGGAAGTCTGAGATCCCCAGACAGACAGGCAACAATGCCCAGGGCCGGGCACAGACAGACCGCCTGGAGCGGCCTCTGTGCCTGTCTGCCTGGGGGGCTGGCCTGCCGCGACCCCCCGAGCGGAACTCCCCAACAACGTGCTCAGCCCCCACAGGCCCCCTCACCTGCTGAAATGGTCACAACTGCCTTTCACATGAAGGCATTTTCCTAAATCAGCGACCCCTTTGTCCTCCATGAAAGTAAAGTCTTTCCAGGAGAGATTGCCAGCTGTTAGCCGCTCTGCCGTGTCAGAAGGCTGGTTTCCAGGGAGACAGCCGGCCAAGGGTGAGGATGAGGACGTGGGCTTGTGGATTCTGTGAGGGGAGGCTGTGATGCCTGCCACACTAGTCTGGGAAGCCTTTTCCTAAGCGTGGTCTGAGCACCTCAATCACAAATCTTACCTAGATCACTTATCAAAAATTCAGATTTCTGAGCCCCAGCAAATCCATCTTTTAGAGGCAAGACCTGGGAGTCTGTATGCTCAGCAAACATTTGAGTGATTTGATCACATTTTTGAGAGTCCCTGCTCTCGTGGAGTGCCCTGAGGATGAGCTGCATGAAGCTTCAAGCAGTCAAACGTGTGACAGATCAGCTCACATATGGATAATTGCCCCCAGAGACTAAATCCAGCTACTGTACCTCATTGTCTTTGTAGAGCTCTTCCGGGAACTCTCTCCCTCCAGGCAAAGGATGCCCACACCACCTGGCTGAGACAGGGAGAAGAGCAGCAGGAGAAATCGCCTTCCTTCCCCTTCTACACTCACTAGCAAAGTCACCACCCCCAGGGAGAAACACACAGGTCCCCTGATCCCCATTGTGTTCAGTACAGTACCACTGTGAGCGCATCTGAATTGTTTGGAGCTTCAGGTAGGAGAGAAAAAGGGTTTAGCAGCTCCCTACAAGATCATCAGTCCATGACAGAAATCTCTGGTGAATGAGCCTTGTCACCGTCTGCTGTAACCCAGACACGCGCTAACTCACATCCCCACGTTGTAGGACTGGTTTGCGTGTTCCGTAAGTTCTGTGGAGACCTTTCGTTTTGTTTTGGCAGAGCTGAGGGAAAACAGTCATGGGGCTTATTTTCCATACTTTTACCATAAATTTTTATTTATCCAGCAGGGAAGAAAAGGAGCAATAAATTGAATGTTCTGCTCTTAAGAAAGACAGGCGGAAGGAAGGAAACTTGCAAGGCTTTTAATGACGTCGCTGACAAAGGAAAGTGCCTAGAAACCTTCAGTGCTGCCAGAAGGACTGGACTGGCTGGGGTCTGGAGGAAGTTAATGGATTCCTGTTTTTGTACACAAGTGGAAAGGGCGAGACGTGATGAATAGTGCTTTTACCTTGACGCATGTCCTCCAAACATGAAAACAAAAATAAATGCCTCTCTCAGAGGTACTCTCTCAGAGAACCAGTTTAACCAAGTTAGGGCACATCTCTGGTAGACTTCATTTCTAACTGGAAAGGAAGGATTTTTGTATCTTAGAAAAATTTTTTTTAGAAAAGTATGGAAGGAAAGATTTTTGTGACAACACTTTTTTAAAAAAAGTAACAATAAATGAATGCTGAGGTTTGAACTGTGTGAGTGCTTGTGAGTAGTTTATATGATAATTCAATACATCGTGAGCTTTCTTACAGTTTTTACCTCTACTTTTCATATTCAAATCAAAGTCCTAGCAAAGGCAGCGCTTAATTTCATAATAGTTGTCAATGTCTTGAGCACTTAATTTTGCCAAGGATTATACTAATGCTTTAAAAGTCTGACCTTGTAAGAAATCAAAAGAGGTAGGTATGCTAATTTTTACTTTTCGGATAAGGAAACTGAGACTTGAAGACAACTGAAATTAATCCTCCCCCAAAATGACCTGTGACTTGAAACCAGACCATCTGATTCCAAAGGGTGTGGATGGAATCCCAGCCTAATAAAACCCTAAGTTTCTGTAAAACTTTGCCATGGGCATGCACACTCACGTACACATACAACACACACAGAAGGATGATCTTTCCTTAGGAACAAAATTTTTCTTTATTTCATTTTATAGAGACCAGATTCAAGAGAGGATACTAGAAGCCAAAAGAGAGAACCCAGGAAGAGGTCAGGAAAACAGATCAGGGCCGCCACCTCCTGCGAGTGCTTCAGGGCATTCTGACACTGGGTTTCAGTTTTGCTCTTTCACTGACTATGTTCCTGAGGGCCCGGCTGGTAACATCCTTGGCTCTGGGTTTTCTCATCTGTAGAAGAAGAAGCTGGACCAAATACCATTACATTCCTTGCTTCTAGCATTCTGTGAATATGTGTGGTTCTTGCCTTCAAAAAGCTTGTGGTCTGTAAGGCAGGTGTGAAAATAGAGGCAATGCATAATTCAAACAGGAGTTCAAGTACAAGACTGAAGTACCGCTACAGGTGGTCTTGCAGTCATTGCTAAATGCGTGGTGAAGACTCTTAGGAAGGTGTGAGAAAATACAGCCCTGGGGCCATCTGAAAATATTTTCCCAAGAGGATAAATAAAACTTAAGCTGGGCTTGTAAAACGTTCAAACTGGACTTACAAAAATTTACACGTTGAATATATGTTCTTTGTAATAAGTCAAATACTGCAGGAGTACTGAAGTTGGTGGAGAAGGAATTGGAACCTACTC